AGCAAAGGCTTCAGTCCAGAAGTTGACTAATGAAGGCATTTATTTTGAATCCTTAAGTGAAGAGGACAAGAAGTGTTTGTTAAGACAACTGAAAAAGTACACAGACTTGATTCTTAAAAAACTACAACAGCAACTTCTAGATTCTACTCAACCTCTATGTAGCTTTTACAGATCCCTGTCCTATAAAACACAGACAGTTGAGTGGAGTGAGGCACTACCAGCAATGGGACTGCCATGTGCTCAGGACAGAACAGAGAATTTGAACACAGAGTGGAATATCATATGACGAATGAATGAAGATTTGACTTCAACTTCTTTTTTATCATTACTAGTGGCTCGACCCGATCTTCATGCTATGTTTTCTGGGCTGAAAGAAGTAGGAATTCATTTCTTGCTACTCCCAGTCACAACAGATACAGTTGAGCGTTCTTTTTCATCATTGAATAGAATTTTGTGTTTTGAAAGAAGTCGCCTTCTACCTGATCATATGAATGAAAAAATGAGCATATCAACTGAAGGAATGGAAGTACCGGACACACGAGAAGCCACCAAAGATGAATGCATTGCATTCAAGAAGTTCATTAACAGAGTTGTGCAAAATTATAACAAGAAACCAAGATGGATGTAGATGTAGTGCTTCATAGAAGGCTTGAGTAGCCAACTTTAATTTGTGGGATGATTTTCAAATCTAATAAAATGGTCATGAAACATTTTTCAGTTTTTACTATGGTGCCATACAGCCCAACTTCACCCTCACAGTCTCACCCCTCATCGGCCCTGACACCCCCCTAATTTGAACACCCCCCCTAATTTCAATTCCTGGGGAAAACACTGGTGTCATCTCCTCTCCAACCAAAGAAGGCCCAGAGAAACCAGACAGGCCATTGTGGAACATTGGTGGACATTTGTTGACTGTTTCCCCCATGTCCAAGAAGGGGAGACATGCATGAACACTGTCCCATCAGCCTGAACTCTGGAGGAAGGGAATAAAAATTCCTGTCAAGAAGAAATTATTATCTCTATCCTGCTTGAACTCTGAAGGGTGAAGATTACTAAGCATAAGCAAGGGATCCCCAGGTATTTAGATTGGGTTAGCTCTGAAACATATATAGAGCTAGCATATTGCAGCAACTTCTATTCCCCTTTGGAACTTAAGACTGTATCTCATTTGTCTGTGTATGTTTGCCTGCTTTCACCTTGTAAATAACTCTTATTTTTTCCTAGTTAATAAATCTTAAGTTAATTATAGGATTGGGTACTGGTGTTATCCTTGCTTTGATATCTGAGGTGCAATTGACGTGGGATAAGTGACTGATCCTTTGGGCCTGGGAATAACCTGAGTATTGTTGTAATTTTTGGTGTAAGGGACCATCTATCAGGCAAGCTTGGCCTGAGTGGCAAGATAGGCCACAGTGCCCAAGGGGACTGTTTGTGACTCCATCTTAAGGCAGTTATAGTGCCTGAGGAGTTCACGCTTGAAACTTACTAGGTGAAATCTAAGTATATAACTCACAATCAGGTTGGGGTTTGTGCCCTAATTTGTAACAGTCTGCCCTGAGGTTGGTACACATGTTCTTGAGCCACTCCAGACAGCTTGACAAAACCTATCTAATTATCTCCAGGGTACATGGAGAATATGAAATAAAAAAGTGAATTACTAAAATGAACAATAAAGTAAACCTTTGTTCAGAATCAGAAGTAGGTAGTGGGATTTAATTATACAATGCAATTTCTGACTAAGCAGCTCCTACAGGAATATAGGCTGTGCAGCAATAAATCTGTAGTGTGAAAAGCAATATAAGAGTAAAACCAGGAAGGACTTGGACTCTTAACAACAAGGTAATTAGAAACTAATACCACTGTTGGCTGTCATTCAACGGATTCAAAGGCTACCCATTGAAAAGAAGATAATAATATACTAATAACATGAAATATTAATGAATCGATGTTGCCAGTAAGACCGCAAGCAAGGAAATGTCATAAAACCCTTATCAAGGAAGAGACCTAACAAATTTTACATGTTTTGGAGCTCCTAGTCTATGACCCTGATGGAAAGTTTTCAGGTTTTCTCTTCCTCCTCAATAGCCATCTACAGAATCTGGACCAACAGAAGAGGTGGTAAGCAGTCTGGAGAATCTAAACTGTCTCCGTCACCAACACAAAGTCAGCCAGCACTCTCTGAAAAGAATTTTCCATTTATCAACCACATTTGAACCATGTGCACTGCTTCTGTGGGATCAGGGCTGTACCAGGAGGACACATCATCTCCTATAGTTTAAGCTAGTCTTGCTTTATTTCCATGTAAGCAGAGGGGGAGAGGGAGGGAGAAAGAGAAACATCTTTTGTCAGTTCATTCCCAGGCTCTTAAGTCATGGGGTTACAACTGGAGTGCTCTGCAGCCATCATCTCTGCAGCAGCAAAGATGAAAGTCAGACAAAATAATCCAAAGAAGTGCTTAACTGTGACTATTAAGTCCCTAAGGATTTATCAGAGTTTACTTTCCTCTGACTGCTGGGAGAGACTTCGGCTGAAGTCCATTAAGCAAATTAAAAAGCAGGAGGAAAATAAACACAGATTAATGGAGATAGTCATTTTATGAGGGAATGAAGCAGCTAGTCCTTCTGACAAAGCTCCTGGGCTGATATTCAGGTTTTAGGGGCCCCAGACCTTATACATGGAAGAGATTATTCTCTCCACATTACCCTGCTGGTAGTCATAAAAGAAAGTTAATAGAATTTTTTCCCGACCACTGAGAAATCCTGAAGAAACTAGAGTGATAATAGAATCCATAATGTTTCACTTCAGTGCATGACATACAGCTATTTGTTTCTTTGTTTCCAAGCAGGGAATTAAGTTGTAAATCTTGTAGTGTCAGAGATACTGTACTTGCTCAGTCTCCTGCTGAAACAGAAACCCATCAGAAATGTTTCCACGCGATAAGAGACTTGCATGCTAATATAATCAGGAAGACTTGATTTATTTATTACTCTGATGCTGTGATTAATATTTAATCTAAAAGAAGAGAAATATTATATATGTTTGAAATCTCTTATAGCTTGATACAAAATAAATTTAATCCAAGAAGTAAGAAAATTACGCCACTACCACAACCCTATTTTTGGTTAATTTTAGGCATTTAAAAATAAAGCAAATCAGCTCTGTTGCTTTAAGTTATTCAAGTGCCCCCTTAAGAAGGGATTTCCATCCTCTTCCCCCCTTCCCCCACAGTATTTTTAAATGGGTTTATTAATTTTCCATGCTGAGTATAACAAATAAACGATGAGCTGATAAAACAAAATGGAGCGAAACAAAATCCTGGAGCTAGCAAATAGGGGAATTTTTGCTAGGCAGTTCTCCAGGTGAAGGAGAAGCCACTAAGTAACCCTTGGGGTCAGTTTGTTGCCTGTTTGTTTGTTTGTTTGTTGTGCACGCCTCCTTGATTGAAGTTTATAGTGTAGCCTGTTTGGGGGGCTGTGTGCTGAGCCTAGCCACCTGCTAGGCAAGGCTGAGAACTTCCTAAGGAGGCTCTAGTCTGCCATTCTTTGATCAACTAATCACTGTAGGATCCCTTGACAAGGGGGCAAGGGTAACTCAGGGTAACTGGAGCAGAGAGAAATGATTGCACAGTCGGGACCCTCCTTCCAGATGATATCATGGTATCTTCTTGCACTGAGGATACCTCTCTGGCGGAGGGGACCCCTGTTATTAGGAAGAGACAGGTAATAGTAATGGGAGATTTGATTATTAGAAATATAGATAGCTGGGTTTGTGATGACCAGGAGAAGGGCATGGTGAATTGCCAGCCGGGTGTGAAGGTTGCAGACCTCTTGAGACATCTAGATAGACTTATGTGCAGTGCTGGGGAGCAGACGGTGGTTGTGGTACATGTAGGTACCAGTGACATAAGGGAAGGTAGAAAAGAGGTCCAGGAGACCAAATTTAGGCTGCTAGGTAAGAGTATCAAGTCCAGGGCCTCCATGGTAGCATTCTCTGAAATCTTTCCAGTTCCATGCGGAGAGCCAGTTAGGCAGGCAGAACTGCAGGGTGTCAATGTATGGATGAGACCAGTGGTGAGCTGGAACCAGTTCGCACCGGTTCACACGAACCGGTTGTTAAATTTAGAAGCAGTTTTAGAACCGGTTGTTAGGGCTCTCTGAGCTCCCAGCCGGGCAGGCTCCCCCAGCCCCTCCCCCACCCTCTGCCGTCTCGCAGAGCCTCAGCATGCCGTGCCGCCGGCACCAGCGCCCTGGACCGCTCCTGGGCAGCTCTGCAGCACCTGCCGCTTTGAGCAGCATGGTACGGGGGTGGGGCTGCGAGCTCCAGCGGGCCGCGCGGCATCCATACACGCTGCCCTGAGCAGCATAGTCAGGGGGCTGAGCCGGGGCTGGGAGGAGGGGCTGGATAAGGAGCAGGGAGCGGTTGGAGGGGGCGGAGGTTCTGGGGGGGCAGTCAGGGGACGGGGAACAGGGAGGGTTGGGTAGGCAGTCGGTGCCCCAGAAAGTCCCAGCCATGCTGTGGCTCGGCTGGGGGCAGCCCCAGGCCAAGGGGGCCCCGACTCGTGGCGCTAGGGAGGGTGCATGGTGTAGGGCTCAGTGTTATAGAAGGGGGCTTTTGGAGACAGGGCCGGCTCTAGGCACCAGCAAAACAAGCAGGTGCTTGGGGCAGCCCATTTCTAGGGGCGGCATTCTGGCACCGGCCATACCACCCCTAGAAATGTGCCCCCACCGCCCTAGCTCGCCTCCACTCCACCTCCACCTGCTGCCCTGAGCGCAGCGCCACCGCTCTGCTTCTCCCCCCTCCCTCCCAGGCTTGCCGCATGCCAAACAGCTGTTTGGCGTGGCAAGCCTGGGAGGGAGGGAGGGAAGGAGGAGAAGCCGAGCACCGGTGCGCTTGGGGGAGGCGGCGGCGGTGGAGTGGAGGTGAGCTGGGGCGGGAAGCGGTTCCTCTACCCTCCCCGCATTATTTCCTGCACTTCCCCCCTCCCCCGCTCACCTCCGCTCCACCTGCTTCCCTGAACGCGCTACCTCTCCCTTGCCTGAGAGGGAGGGGGGAGAAGCGGAGCGGCGGCGTGTTCAGGGGAGCAGGCGGAGCAGAGGTGAGCTAGGGCAGGGGGTTGCGGGGGGAGAACTGTAGGAAGCAATGGGGGGGGGAATGTGGCATGCCCGGGGGAGGAGGCGGGGCCGGGCATTTAGGGAAGGGGTTGGAAAGGGGAGGAGCCGGGGCGGGGAGGGCATGAAAAAAAGAGGGGGCGGCCAAAAATTTTTTTGCTTAGGGCGGCAAAAATCCTAGAGCCGGCCCTGGTTGGAGAAGGGGCTTGGTGCTAGAGGGGGGTGCATGGAGCAGCACCGTTTCGGGGGCACGGGGCTATGGAAGGGCTGCGGGGCTCCGTGTCCTGTCTCGGGGCAGGAGCCACGCTGCGGCTGGTCCCTGCGCTGCACAGACACCTGGGCAGCTGCTCCAGGGCCCTGCACGCAGAGGCCGATCCAATGCCGCCTCGCTCAGCAGCCAGGGCCAAGCTCCATGCTGCTTCCTGTCTGGCTCAAGAAACGCGACCAGCTGCGCTGGGCAGGGAGATCAGGCACCATGTGACTGGGCACCGCATAGGGCCGGGGAGCCAGGCCCCTGGCAGCAGCAGCCTCCTCTGCCCCAGGAGCTGGGCAGAGCTGGCTGTTGCCATGGCTGGGGGCTGCCGTAGGCATGCTGGGGTGAGTTCCCCCCAGTCTCTCCCGCTCCTGCGCTGTGGGGCTGTCCGGCCTCTGCCGCTTGGGGGCGCTCACATCCCGCAGTGGGGAGTCGGGCAGACGGCAGCCTTTGCCTGCAGGGAGCCGCCTCCCCCACATGCCGGGAGCGACCCCACTGATGCAAGGGCTGCAGGACTCCTGCACCACCGGCAGGCACCAGGGATGGAGAACGGGTCTGGGGAAGGCAGGGGGGCAGGACAGAGCGGGGGGGGGGGAGGGGACAGGACAGAGCCTGGGGGGCAGGATGGAGCCTGGGGGGAGAGTTTGGGAGGGGGCAGACAGAGGGACATCCCTTATATCAGAACTTTTTATAGGGAACTGATTGTTAAGATTTTGGCAACTTATCACCGGATGAGACAATGATGTTCAGAGGAGGAATTTACATTTATTAGGAACTGGTGAACCTTTTAGGAAAGGAGGAGCCTGTAAAGAAAAGATGGGTTCCACCTAAACCAAAATGGAACCAGATTGCTGGTATGTAAAATTAAAAAAGGTGGTAGAAGAGTTTTTAAACAAAGAGCTGGGGGAAAGCCCATAGGTGCAGGGGAGCACATGGTTCAGACAAATGAATCACTTAGGGAATGATTTAATAAAGGGGATATTCTATATACTACTAAAGAGGAGAGGATAGAAGTTAATAGAGCATAGGTAGGAGGAACTGGAGAGAAAGTTAAATGAAAAAGAGTCCCATTCAGTTACATAACACAAAGACAGAAAACTAAATATTGATAGATTTTATAAGTACTTGTATACAAATGCAAGAAGTCTAAAAACTGAGATTGGTGAACTTGAGTCCCTGGTATTAAATGAGGATATTGATATAATTGGCATCACAGAAACTTGATGGAAGGATGATTATCAATGGGAGATGGTAATATCAGGATCCAAAATATATAGGAATGACAGAATAGGTCACACTGGTTAGGGGAGGGCCACTATATGTAAAAGAAAGCATAGAGTCAAATCTAATAAAAGTTTTAAATGAATCAAACAATACCAGAGAAATTCCATGTTTGAATAATCAGAGTATAGCAGTAGGAATATACTATCAACCACCTGACCAGAATTGTGAGGGTCATTGAGAAATGATCACCCTCACTAAGCAGCAGTTCTGCAGAAAAGGATCTGGGGATTACAGTGGACGAGAAGCTGGATATGAGTCAGCAGTGTGCCCTTGTTGCCAAGAAAGCCAATGGCATATTGGGCTGCATTAGTAGGAGCATTGCCAGTAGATCGAGGGAAGTGATTATTCTCCTCTATTTGGCACTGGTGAGGCCACATCTGGAGTATTGCGTCCAGTTTTGAGCCTCCCGCTACAGAAAGGATGTGGACAAATTGGAGAGAGTCCAGCGAAGGGCAACAAAAATTATCAGGGGGCTGGGGCATGTGACTTACGAGGAGAGGCTGAGGGAAGTTGACTTGTTTAGTCTGCAGAAGAGAAGAGTGATGGGGGATTTGATAGCAGCCTTCAACTGCCTGAAGGGGGGTTCCAAAGAGGATGGAGCTTGACTGTTCTCAGTGGTGGCAGATGGCAGAACAAGGAGCCATGGTCTCAAATTGCAGCGTGGGAGGTCTAGGTTGGATATTAGGAAACACTGTTTCACTAGGACGGTGGTGAAGCACTGGAATGGGTTACCTAGAGAGGAGGTAGAATCTCCATCCTTAGAGGTTTTTAAGGCCCAGCTTGACAAAGCCTTGGCTGGGATGATTTAGTTGGCGTTGATCCTGCTTTGAGCAGGAGGTTGGACTAGATGATCTCCTGAGGTCTCTTCCAACCCTAATCTTCTATGATTCTATGATCAGGAGATTGGAGAAGCTACAAAAACAGAAAACCCAATAATAACAGGGGATTTCAACTATCCACATATTGACTGGGAATATGTCACCTCAGGATGGAATGCAGAGATAAAATTTCTAGACACCATTAATAACTACTTCTTGGAGCAGGAACCCAGAAGTGGGGAGGCAATTTTTGATTTAGTCCTAAGTGGCACACAAGATCTAGTCCAAGAGGTGAATCTAGCTGAACTGCTCAGTAAGAGCAACCATAATGTAATTAAATTACAGAAGGAAAATACCAAAGAAATCCACCACATTAGGATTTAACTTTGAAAAGGGGAACTACACAAAAATGAGGCGGCTACTTAAACGGAAATTAAAAGAAACAGACACAAGAGTGAAATGCCTGCAAGCTGTGTGGAATTTTTTTAGAAACACCATAATAGAGGCTCAAACTATACGTATACCCCAAATAAAAAAATCAGTAAGAGGACCAAAAATGCCACCACAGCTAAACAACAGAGTAAAAGATGGGGTTAGAGACAAAAAGACATCTTTAAAAATTGGAAGTCAAATCCTTCTGAGGAAAATACAAAGGAACATAAACTCTGGCAAATCTAGTGTAAAAGTACAGTTAAACAGGCCAAAAAAGAATTTGAAGAGCAACTAGCAAAAAGACACAAAAACTAACAGAAAACATCAGAAGCAGGTAGCCTACCAAACAATCAGTGGAGCCACTGTATGATGGTGGTGCTAAAGAAGCACTCACGGAAGACAAGGCCATTGAAAAGAATCTAAATGAATTATTTGCATCTGTCTTCACTGAAGAGGATGTGAGGGAGATTCCCACTCCTGAGTCAGGTTTTTTTTATGTGACAAATCTGAGGAACTGTCCCAGACTGAGGTGTCAATAGAGGAGGTTTGAAACAAAGAACATAAGAATGGCCATACTGGGTCAGACCAAAGGTCCATCCAGACCAGTATCCTGTCTACCGACAGTGGCCAATGCCAGGTGCCCCAGAGGGGGTGAACCTAACAGGTAATGATCAAGTGATCTCTCTCCTGCCATCCATCTCCACTCTCTGACAAACAGAGGCTAGGGACACCATTCTTTGCCCATCCTTGGCTAATAGCCCTTAATGGACTTAACCTCCATGAATTTATCCAGTTCTCTTTTAAACCCTGTTATAGTCCTAACCTTCACAACCTCCTCAGGCAAGGAGTTCCACAGGTTGACTGTGCGCTGAGTGAAGAGGAACTTCCTTTCTTTTGTTTTAAATCTGCTACCTATTAATTTCAGTTGGTGGCCCCTAGTTCTTATATTATGGGAACAAGTAATAACTCTTACTTATTTTCTTTCTCCACATCACTCATGATTTTATATATCTCTATCATATCCCCCCATTAGTCTCCTCTTTTCCAAGCTGAAAAGTCCTAGCCTCTTTAATCTCTCCTCGTATGGGACCCGTTCCAACCCCTAATCACTTTAGTTGCCCTTTTCTGAATCTTTTCTAATGCCAGTATATCTTTTTTGAGATGAGGGGACCACTTCTGTACACAGTATTCAAGATGTGGGCATACCATGGATTTATATAAGGGCAATAAGATTTTCTCCATCTTATTCTCTATCCTGTTTGCTTTTTTGACTGCCGCTGCACACTGCGTGGACATCTTCAGAGAACTATCCATGATGACTCCAAGATCTTTCTCCTGATTAGTTGTAGCTAAATTAGCCCACATCATATTGTATGTATAGTTGGGGTTATTTTTTCCAATGTGCATTACTTTACATTTATCCACATTAAATTTTATTTGCCATTTTGTTGCCCAATCACGTAGTTTTGTGAGATCTTTTTGAAATTCTTCACAGTCTGCTTTGGTCTTGACTATCAGTTTAGTATCATCTGCAAACTTTGCCACCTCACTGTTTACCCCTGTCTCCAGATCATTTATGAATAAGTTGAATAGGATTGGTCCTAGGACTGACCCTTGGGGAACACCACTAGTTACCCCTCTCCATTCTGAAAATTTACCATTTATTCCTACCCTTTGTTCCCTGCCTTTTAACCAGTTCTCAATCCATGAAACGATCTTCCGTCTTATCTCATGACAACTTAATTTACATAAGAGCCTTTGATAAAAACAAATTGAACAAATTGATAAATTAAACAGTATTAAGTCACCAGGCCCAGATGGTATTTACCCAAGAGTTCTTAAGGAACTCAGATATGAAACTGCAGAACTACTAACTGCGGTATGTAACCTATTGCTTAAATCAGCCTCTGTACCAGATGTCTGGCAGATAACTAATGTAACACCTATTTTTTTTAAAGGCACCAGAGGTGATCCTGGCAATTACTGGCCAGTATGCCTAATTTCAGTGCCATGCAAATTGGTTGAAACTATAGTAAAGAACAGAATTGTCAGACACATAGATGAGCACAGCTTTTGTACAGGAAAATCATGCCTCACTAATCTGTTAGACTTGTTTGAGGGGGTCAAAAAAGATGGACAAGGATGATCCAGTGAATATAGTGTACTTGCACTTTCAGAAAGCCTTTGACAAGGTCCCTTA